ACGCAGCTGCTGTTGTTTCAACACCATGCAAACTACCTGAAAAGAAAAAATTCTCTCTTGATGTAGGCAATTTTCCCTTAAGTTTTGTCACGTTATCTTTTGATCATGTGTCAAAAGATCATGTGTCATCGTGGTGGTAAGCAAACCTCAATTCTGTTTCTAGGTTGCCTGTTCCGGAGGCAGTGAGGCAGTGGGCGGGGACTGAGGGAGTGACTGAGCGGAGTTGTGGGGTCGGCTGCGGGTCTGCACTGTTAGGCGGGTTAGCCATCCTCCACTGTGGAAGCTGAGTGTAAGCTGTGGAAGAAGCTGAGACGTGTGTTGGCTGAGTGTACATGATACCATCCTCTAAACCACACTAGAGCAAACGCCCACTCACCTTCCCTCCAGTTTCAGAGCTAAATACCGCCCAGAGCCCCATGCCCCGTGCCTGCCCCTTCTCTCCTGAGTTCAGTGAGAACCATGCTTTTGCTTTTCTCTACAGTTCAGCCACATATGTGTCCCCAAACATCACATTGTTTAGTTTCGCTTGGTTTTGAACTTCACAGTAATTAAAATCATACCATATGTCTTCTTTGCCTTACATTCTCTGCTCAGTGTCTAGTCAGACATGCACAGGTGTTGACGTGGCACGTGGTCTGAATTTTGACCCTGAGGTCCAGAATTTTCACCTGTGGGGTGATGATTATGCCTTACACATGGGGTTGTGATGTGGTTTAAATAAGTCCATAAGGACTATGAAGGTTGTCTGACCTGTAAGAAATGCTCAGTAATTTTAGTCATTATTAATTCAAATAAATAATAAAATCTAACTCAGTTAATATTAAGACTTGGTAACAAATATTATCATTATATAACACTATCCACATGCGTATGTGAATAAATATTTAACAAATGTCTTACCTTTACAAATTCTAATTAATTTTCAAGAAAACACAATTATGTTTATAACACAATTGTGTTCCAGACCTTGATTACATTACCTTTACATGACCTCAGATAACCCTATAATTACTTTATCTTGAAAAAGCAAATATAATGAAACAAAATATCACCTCATTATAACATTTTGTAGGAGTTTGAATATTTATATGGATTAAAATGCATTATGCTATATTTCCACTTTGTATAATGAGGCAGTGGCCGTATTACCATAGGGTTTAACTAGAATCACTTTTCAGCTAAAATCAACAAACCTTGCCTAATCTGACCAAATTCATTTTATTTAGGGGCGTTGAATTTTTGAATTGAAATCGAACTTTCATGATTTTATTTTATCACCCATTTTACCACTTTTTAATTTTTTTTAAGGCTAAAAGTGTCCGTCAGGTGAAAAACATTTCACAGATTTAGCTGGAAAGTATTTGTAATTACCTTTCATTTAATAACTGGGAATGACTCTCCTTCCTCCTCCCTTTCACTGAACCAAAATTGCTTAAGAAGGTTGGTTTTGAGCCAACATTTCACAGGGTTCACACTTTTGTAATGTTGTTTGTAAACTTTAGCTGTTAATAGCTACGTGGAGCTCCATGATGTGCTCTTTCTCTGCTCTCTTTGTTTCTTAAGCTACATTTAGGACTGAAGCACAATGATGACTTAAAATTCCGTGAAAGTTTTGATAACGCTTGAACTAAGTTAGCTTAAAGCCATTTCAAGTCAGTATATTTAAGAACCTTGAGCATTCTGGAAATGATGAAATTATGGTTTACTATAAATTCAGTTATCAGTAGTTTTAATGACCCAGGTTATTGCCACAAACAGAGGAAAGAGGAAACAAAATCTAAGAAACCAATGAACAAAGAAACAGCGATTTCACACAATGTTTTTCTACCTGAAGGACTCTGGTGGGGCGTGAGGAAAGGCTGGACTTCCCTGTGTCTGGACGTCAAATGCTTAACCCAAGTGTTGGCTCCAGAACTGAGGGCACCTAATTGTTACCCACAGCAAGAGGAGGGAGAAAGTGGAGGCAAGAAAATGAAGAATAAACCAACAAGCATGTCTCACCACATTAAAATTATTGTTTTCCTGCTGTTTAAACTCCTAAGTTTTAGTTAAGGAAGGATTTCCGTATCTTCTTTAAGGATTTTAATTTGATCCTTTAATTTTCAGCAAAAACTGCAGAAAGTGTATGCCAATGTTTGCTAGACTGCTACTGGCATTTTAATTTCATTACTTGAGAATTTATAACATTATATGTTTGCACACACAAAAATTATGTGCCAGTTCCTTAGGGCCTCACTGTCTCCACTGCCTCAGTGCCCACAGGCCTCCAAACTTGCGGGACCTGCAGAGCCTGGAGCTCTCCCAGTCAGAGGCAAGTAAGAAGCAGCGAGCTCTGGGATCCCTGCTTCTCCCAGATGGAGGTCCCTGGGTGGCTTCAGAGCTCAAATCAAAACGGAAGACGTATTGACTCAGGTGTCCAGGATGCTCTTCGGGGTCTGTGAAATGTTTTAATGAGGCGGACTTCCCTCCAAGTAAGCACTGCTATGCTCCCCGTGGGCGTGCCGGGTGAGGAGGCCTGGCACGCAGACAGACGCTGGGCTGCAATTCATCGTCATCTCATTAAACCCCAGGTCCTGCAGAAAAGCCCGAGTCCAGGGAGGCTGCTGACCCACGGGCTCAGCACTGTCCCATGTGAGTTTTTCTGCTGTCTGGAGGCAGCTTCTGACCAATTCTAGAGCAAAATAGACCTCACTGCATTCGTTCCAGACAGGAAATGGCAGTTTCATTCTGAAAACTCTAGATACCACTATTTTCAGGGAATTTGGTTATGCATTTTGGTGCCTGGATCTGGACAGTCATTTTTGTCTGCTGTTCTGTGGGATCTCAGACGCACATGTGGCTTGTTGACAAAACAAAATGCTGCTTTCTGCTTTAGGTTAGAAGAGTCAGATGCGTCTTCACTGACCTTCATCAAACAAAGAGATTAAGTCATTTACTGTGAGGGATTACCATGCATATCTTTTTAAAAACACATTACCTCGGCCGGATGCGGTGGCTCACACCTGTAATCCCAGCACTCTGGGAGGCTGAGGTGGGCAGATCACCTGAGGTTAGGAATTCAAGACCAACCTGGCCAACATGGCAAAACCCTGTCTCTACTAAAAATACAAAAAAATTAGCAGGGTGTGGTGGTGCACATCTGTAATCCCAGCTACTCGGGAGGCTGAGGCAAAAGAATCACTCGAACCCAGGAGGCAGAGGTCGCAGTGAGCCAGGATTGCGCCATTGCACTCCAGACTGGGTGACAAGAGCGAGACTCCATCTCAAAACAAAACAAAACAAAACAAAACAAAACAAAAAAACACATTATCTCCTGCACTGGACTTGTTCGATGACGACACTTTCCATAAGTAGCTAAAGTTTGTTTTGAAAAATCAATGCATCTAAATGCACAGAGATTTTTATTTTCTGTAGGTCCATTCAGACCATGGAGTAAAATACTCTGATAAGAACAACCTTATCTCTATCCTGTTAGACAAGCTGAAGCTAAGTTTCTGATGCGCCAGGCAGGTGTTTAATAAAGTTGGTGCTTCTTAAACTAAACATTGAGAATTATGATGATTAATTGATTTGGACCTTGTTTTTTATCATATGCAATTTTCTGCACTTTTATAGCATCCATATTATATGATCTATATAATCACTACCACGTGTAATTTCACATGGAATCCACATATTCTGTGTGTACTTTTTTATGTTAATCTTTGATTCCCTTAAATTTTAGGGTTGTAATGCTTCTGAGGCCCCAGCCTAGATTCCATTATTTCAGATAATCAATAAATGTTTTCAGGATGCAGCCCACCCTGGTGTGGCTAGAGAGGGGAAGAGCAGCATGCGAAGGCAGAGAGACAGAGACAGAGAGACACAGAGACAGTGAGAGACAGAGAGGGGGCAGTTTGAACACAGGGAGACGGCGCAGGGGAGAAGAGCTGCCACCACTGCATGGTCCACGGCAGCTTTGCCTTGGACAGTTTTGGTGCAAATGAGAACTTTATTTGGATCACTTAGCACCAGTACCATTGCTGTACAGAATCGGTACCATTACGTACAGTGATCTGAAAACTCTAGTTTCCACACGATTTGATATTTGCTAAACACTAGAAGTAATATTTAGAATTGACATTTAATCTGTATATAGTTTGTCAAGAGCGTTCCCACTTTCGAAGAACAGGTTACTGCTTGTTTTCCACTATTTAAACAAAGACTTAAAATTGAAACAAATCTATATGAAGGCAAAAACTGGGGCAAAAAGCCTTAGCTTTTGTGCAGATTTGTTCGATCTTATTTAATGGGGCTCTCTCTGCCTCTCTGACGATGGAAAGGTTAAGTGAAAACATGCTGCATAGATTATAGCCAAACTTTCTCATACAAAGTTTTTCAATTTGTTGCGTTTAATATTCTAGGTACAGTCATTTTGATTAGAGCCGTCTGTGTATGTTTGTTTGTGGGAATGAGGGAAAATGCTAAGTGACTTTGGGAATTTCTTGTTTGTTGCACATTTAATGAAAAATGTGCATCAGACTTTCCATATCCTGTAATGAAACCCTTTATTAGGAGGAAGTGACATTTGTCTTCCACATTAAACAAGTCTTCTGTGACTGGAAAGCAACTCTCTTAATGCACGTAAATCAATCTAGCTTTCCTTATGAAGCGGCCGCCTGTTGCTATGTGTTGACATTTCCCACACCCCCGTGGACACATGCACACACACATCCGTGTGTACACACAGGCACACACAGGCACACACATAACAGATTCACAGACTCAGACTCGCAAGTACCCATGCATGCCACCCACACCCACGCATGCACACCCATCTGCACCTGCACACACAAACACACATCTACTCACGTGGACACGGGCGCGCGCGCACACACACACACACACACACACGTGGCCACTTCAGCTGCTGCAAGCACTGTGCTTAAATGACTGTCATAACAAAGCATAATGTCGCTGAGATTTCTCTTAACACTGTTGCCACTTTTGCCACCCTGCAGCGGACCAGACAGGGATGTTGTTCGTAGGCGATGCTGTTCTCCAGGTCAGTATTGTACACGTTAATCCTTAACTTGATTGCATTTTTATTTTTAACTTGTATTAATTATTATTCTCAACATTCTTACTTTGTCATCTGTTCAGGTTAATGGCATAAATGTAGAAAATGCAACTCATGAAGAAGTGGTAAGTGAATTACATTTTATATTTGTTCTGTTTATTATTCTTGTATTTGAATTATTTGTCTCTGTAATTTGTATTTAACTGAGTCTATCCATAGATGCAGTCTTAGAATTGGAAAGGAAGCTTAAAAGGTTTAGTAACTTGTGTTACGAAAGGACCTTAACAAAGTGCCCACTGTCGACCGTTGCATGCTGACCGGGTCACTTCACAAGTGTTCCGTCAGGGATCCTCACAAATGCTGTAAAGTACACTTGATGAAGCCCATGTTGATCACAAGGGCACTGGAACTCAGGGAGCAGGTGACTCACCCGGGATTCCTGAAGGGTCGTCATCGTGCTGAGCACAGGAGGTGTCAGGGCTTTGCAGGGTCTCCCCATACCGCCCGGGCACTAGAACCTGCAGGGCCTTCACACCTTTGCTCCCCATTGGCTGGCAGCAGCACGCATGCATTAGAATGTGTGCCATGGAGGATGTCAGGTGAGACCTCTGAGGATCACATAAGATGGTGGGTGTCAGGACGCATTCAGTGCAGGATGCCTTCCATGGAGATGAGCTTTCTCCAGTGTCATGTCAGCTTAAAAGGCGGATGAAACAGACGTCTGTCCCCGAGGTACTCATTCTGGCTGTTGGGAAGAGAGAAGCCAAGTGCAGCCTCACCATGGGGCTGATGCCAGGAAGCATGTGGTAGGGACACATGGTCAGTCCGGTGCCTGCAGGGTGGGGGCAGAGGTGGAGACGGTATTACAGCTGAGAGATGAGGTGGAGGACAAAGCGGGTGAGATGCCTGGCAGAGCATCCCTCTGCCGATAAGTGAGCTGGGGGACACAGGGTCAAGGAGAGAGGCAGCGGAGCTGAGTCCAGGACGCACGTCTGGGGCCCCAGGCAGCCAGCAGAGCCCTCACGGGAGGTTAATTCTGTGAGTTGCAGCAAAAGACAAGCAGGCTGGTAATTTAACTTGTCCCATGAAGAGTAACAGGCATGTGCTCATTTCTTCTTCAGTGTTTATCTTTTCAATTAGCCAACTTTTAGTTCCAAGGAAGGGCCAACAGCCCTAGTACCCGAAAGTCACCCCATCTGCATAGCAGTAAATTTCCGTGAACCCAAGGCAGGCACATGCAGCCGTCTGTAACTAAACAGGGAATCGCTTCCTACACGCTCACTCCAAATTCATCTGTGTCTTCTTCAAGATGTGTAGTTATCGACCTCTAATATGCGCTGGGCGGAGGAAAGAGTCACAGCAACAAGGATCAGCATATTTCTTGGCCTCCAAGACCTGAAAGTCTCGAGTAGATGAAGTGCTGTTACCCTTTTGCTTATTATGGGAAAACACATCACAATTGAAAGAGAGGCAAGACATGCCTTCATGACTTCTATCCTAGCCCAGAGAGAGTAAAATGCTTGTGAGCAACAGTTTTTTTGTTGTGGTTGTTGTTGTTGTTGTTTTGTTTTTGAGACAGAGTCGCACTCTGTTGCCCAGTCTGGAGTGCAGTGGTGAGATCTCAGCTCACTGTGACCTTCACCTCCCGGGTTCAAGCAATTCTCCCTGCCTCAGCCTCCCGAGGAGCTGGGATTATAGACGCTCACCACCATGCCTGGTTAATTTTTGTATTTTTTTTTTAAGTAGAGATAGGGTTTCGCCATGTTGGCCAGGCTGGTCTTGAACTCCTGACCTCAGGTGATCTGCCCACCCTGACCTCTCAAAGTGCTGGGGTTACAGGTGTGAGCCATCACGCTCGGCCACAACAATTTTTTGCACTAATTGCTCACAACTATAATCCAAGCACTTTGGGAGGCCTAGACAGGAGGATCACTTGAGGCCAGAGGTTCAAGTCCAGCCTGGGCAACACAGCAAGACCTGTCTCTACAAAAAATAAAAACAAAATCTAGTCAGGCATGGTAGTGCATACCTGTAGTCCCAGCTACTCAGGAGGCTGAGGTGGGAGGACCACTTGAGCCAAGGAGTTTGAGGCTGCGATGGGCTATTATGGCCCCTACACTGCGGTCTGGGCAATAGAATGAGACTTCATCTCAAAAAAAAATCTAGTAAATTATATGTAAATCTTATAAATGGAGCTATTACAATATTGGACTTATACAAATATACTTGTTGAACCAAACTGATCATATCATATGTCTACATTCTTATGTGATGCAAAATAAATTATTAGAGAAATGCTAATGAGACATATAATCTCAATTTTTCAGATGCATGAAGTTCATTAAAATGTTAAAATTCTAGAAGACTTATAAATCATATGGTTTCACTTCCTCATTTTTCAGAGTAAATTCTGGCTTTGGTTAATTGTAAAAAAAAAAAAAATGTCCATTCTACTCAATGCAAAGAATCCTTTTTAATCTAAAAATTAGATTTACCTCCACAAAGTGAATCTTATTCACTCTACTGCTTTGGAAAATTTTACTACTCTAGGTTGTTAAAACATCTTAATACACATAAATGCATATACATTAACATATAGTTTCCTCTTTTTAATCCATCTGTGCATTTGCATCCACATTGGCATGTAATACTGTAGCGGCTACAGCAGAGTAAGCTGCCTGTATGTTCACTGGGCAAATTCTGAGACATGTCTCTCTCAGGAGAAAAGGGAGATCGGCGACGGCTGTCACTCAGTGTGACATCCCTGCGCAGACACAGATTGGGATGTCTGGGGGGCGGGCAGCAGGAGCTGCAGGTTCCTCTGTCCCTCTGCCTGGTCTGTGATGCCACCACTGATCCAGAGTGAGGAGCTCGGGGAGGTGGGCTGCTCTCCAGCGCCCCCACAGGCAGGGCACAGAACAACAGCCTGGCAGGGCCTCAGCAAGGCTGGTGTGTTCTACCTTTAATCACCCCAGGGCATCTCAGAACAAGAAACTTTACAGAATGTCATTTTTCTGCAGTTCAGTGGGAAATTTTAAAAAGACGTCTCAAAGGTGAAAGTAAGATGTTGTAATAGAAAATTGCTTCTAGTCTAAGTTACAGTCTTAAGTTCTTAAGTGCTATGAAAACCATTGATAAAAATTGCCCTAATTGGAAAAAAAGTCACTAACACCTTTCACAGAGCTTCCTTTTTAAATTTAAATTAGTCCTTTTACATGTTTCAGTCACCTATAGTAGCTTTTACTATGATTAAGAGCTCATGGCAGATCCTGCCTGGAGGTGATTTTGAACTTAACTGTTAGAAATAAAGTTGACATCTTACATTGGGAAAAATGGTGTGGACACTCTGAGTAGAAAGGAACCTTCCAGATCATCTACTTTGAACAGCAGCTCAGGGCGGGAAGTCCCATTCATAGAAATTGGCTCTGACAGTTTACTCAGCAGACCATGGGGACTTCATTCCATGTTAGTGGAATAAGGGGTTCCTAACACAGAGCTGAAGCTTTCTTTCCTGTTACGCCAGGTTGTCCATTTACCAACATGTGTTATGCTTAATACTGAAACAGGACGTTCCATCCTGTGTAAGCAAGGCCTTTTTCCTCAAGAATGAGTATGTTCTGGCCTCGGTGCCGGAACACAAGGTATACTATTGCCATTTGGAGGCAGTCTACTTCTGGCGATGTGTGCTAACAGCTAGAAACTGCAGGAGAAAGAACCATTGACCAGTTTCGTAGCTGTTTGCCAGGTATCAGGGATGTTTTTGATTTGCTCTGGGATACAGGGCACATCTGGGACAAGAGCTGGAACTGGAGTTCCATCTGTTGATATTTACAATAGAGCACTCCCATTGCTAATAATTTATTTGCTTTCTGCCTGAGCCAAGAGGCAATCGAAAGAAATGTAATAAAAATTACCTCTTCCACATCTTTCAAGTCTTTTCTACGGCGTGGCTTTTGGTTTTCCATTTTCCAAAGGAAAAGCCATTCTAGGATGTCCAGTCACCCAACCATAATGGGCCTGAATGCAGGGGTCCAGACACCAACATGGAGGTTCCACCAGTAGGACACGTATCTGTTCAGCTCTGTACTCAGAGGGGAGATAAAGAGCCCCAAGGTGTGTTTGGGGCCCTGAGACAAGTGTGGGATGAGTCCAAGACAAAGGCAGCTGTCCCCCGACCCACATTATCCACACATTGTGACAGGCGCCGTGGCGGGCACTGGGACTCCAACGACTTGGCATCGGCCCAGAGCCAGGGTCCGGGAGCCCTTTGTCCACCACTCATAGCTGCCAATCTCTGCAAGTACTTTACAGAGGCTAAAAGGGAGATCTGCAGTACAACGGCTTGGCGGTCTTTCCTCAAACGGACTTGGACTTCCCTTCATTCAGGGCTGCAGGTTCTGGGAACTGACTCCCTGAAATGGATTGAGAGCTCAGGTCTCTTTACTGTGGTAAGTCCAGTCTCTATCCACTTGGAGATTTTTCATCTACACAAATCAATTACAACTGCAATGTATTCCCCCTCTATTTCAGTCCTAAGAACTCCATGATCAGTTAGCTACAGCTAGATAGATCTGCAGGTCACACCATCAGCCCTGCTGCCCATGAAAGGAACCAACCCACCTGGTCTGAAGGTTCAGTGCTGCTGCTGGGCTCTGCCATCCCGTCCAGGGTCCACCATCTCTTTGGATTCCAGGAGCCACCTTCAATGGTGGCATAACCCAGTACCATGCCTGCTCAGCAGGAAAGTGCCTCAGCAGAGTTTCTGGGATGCTGGTGCCTTCCTCACTTAGGAGTTTTTCAGTCTTTTGGCAAAGAAGTGAATGTAGATGCAGCAAGAGAGCAGGTATGGGAGTAGGCACCCTACTTCCATAAATCTTTGAATTTCTTCTGGGACCGCACACCAAGGAAGCTATGGCAACTCAACCTCACTTAGTATGGCCACTGTGAGTCAACTAACCAAAGAAACCAATAGAGTCTCTCTCAAGTAATTAAACAAATTCAATCCAGAATCTCTAGTCATTCAATCCAGAGTCTCTAGTCATTGCACCCATATCAATACAGTTGGTCTAATCCAACAGAGGATTCTACAGCCTTAAACACATATTTCCACGCACAATCAAAAGTT